GAAAGAAATATGAATGTATTTTTCTTTTCACGATTATATAAATAGATAAAATCAATAACAAGATCGAAGCAAAATTACATTGCAGTAATCAGAGTGTGCAGCCCCCTTAATAGGCGGCCTGCAGGCAAAATTTCGCCCGCGAAAGAAATTATTCAGGCCCGCGAGAAAAACTATATAAAAATTATACAAAATTATTGAAAGAAACTGAAAGTAGGCCTCATAACCTTTCGATGTACAAAATTATTGAAAGAAACTGAAAGTAGGCCTCATAACCTTTCGATGAATATATTTTTTAATAAAGTGGAGTCAAGGCCAAAACAAAACACTGAGCCAATGTGAAGTAGGGATGACCCATCCAGATCTATAATTAAATCCGTTACCAACCAATCGACAAACACCAAAAGATTGGTAGTATTAGCTCAGCTAAATACAGTATGACATAGTGTCTGTGGTATGACATAGCAGATTAAAAATAAAAACTTTACCATAGACTTGTTTTTATTATGAGTAGACCGGAGATTCTACTGGCGAATAGTTTTTATGCTTCAAATCCCTGGTATTTGGTGGATATAGGATGGGTGAAATTACAGAGAAAATACATATTGTGTGCCAAACTATTAAATTGACTGTGTTTACGATTATGCCTGTAATTTCATGCTTGGTTTGAAAATACTCTTACAGGATCTCACTGCCCCCACAATTTCTCAGTATTTTTTTTAAATTCTTTTTCCACATCCAACACTGTATTATTTGAATTTTACATACCATTCACGTCGTTGCTCTTCTTTAGATTCCGTGTTCATTTTCAGTCTCCTTGTGCTCGGTGGTCATTTTTTACTTTCTTTTAGATTAGGCTACCAACTCCATTAAAGACTTTTTTTTAATTTTTTTTATTAATGAATAGCATTCGTTAAATAATTATATAATAATTCATTAATAAAAAAGTAATAATTAAAATAATATGTTTCCGCTTTGGTACGGTATAATTTTGGAATATCAAAATATAATAAAATTATATATGCCTTTCAATAGGGTTATAAGAATCAACGCACATGTATAGCCTATCCTTCTTGTGATTGATTTTGTATTAACCATACATTGTGATATAAATCATAATAATAATAAAAGAACTCAACAGTGTACCGTACGTTATCGCGCAGCAGATTTAATAACAGTCCCTCTTTGTTTAATACTTAGACAATGCAAAACTTTTATTTTGTCTATATAATTTTGTCTTTGGTTTAGGTAGGTGGCATTTCTGACAGAAAGAGTTGGAATTCGCCAGACCACCAGGCAATGCTTTCACTTTATATTGGCGAACGGTGCGAAGAGGTCTGGATCCGCGCCTGCCTCTAGGTGCCCGGAGATTGCACTCTCATAACTTACAATACAATACAACAATTATTTTTCTTAATACAATTTACGGGGGTGCGACTGCACCGTCTGCATCCCTTCTGCATCCGCCCCAGACTTGGGTCGCGATCGATAATTTGAATCCAAGGCAAATTATGGGTTACAGAAATCCAATAAATACGGCCTCAAAATGCTACTTTGTCAGAGCTTCTCGGCCTCTGGACCCAGAACATACGGGCCTGTAAACAACCTAATATATGATGAAAATATGCTTTACCACTTTATCATGCTACTTAAAACCGTCAGCTCCCAACAAAATAATTAATTGAAATTAAGTAGTGGTGCCAGTTGCCGAGGCAGATTCCCGTCAGAGTGACTGTCAAAGGAGAACTCAACACATTCGTTAGTGAAAAACGGGTGAAAAATAATCATATGTAACCTTTACAGAATATGAGGCTGTACGATCGATTACTGGCTTTAAGCATTTAAAATCACTAAATTGTTAGAGCTTCAGAGCTTATGCCCCGTGGACCCCCTTAAGAGGTTCTGGGACATTGCTCCTCCCCTATCGTTGGCCAAATGTTTTTGTGATGATTTTACACAAGCAAAAAATAAATAAATAAATAAAAGATCAGCAATAAGCAAGAAATAGTGGAAAATAAAGTGTCTTAATTATTTTGACAAAATCATCTCAATCTTATGGTGCACAAATTTTAATGAATTTAGCGTCCTAATATTGTGCTGTGGTACAATTAAACATAGAATAGAAATTAAAATTGCCAAAAAATCCTCAGAAGTTTGTGCGGCCACGACAGGGGGCTTCGGCCACAGCATCTCAGAATTTCACCTTAGGTCCATAAAGTATAACAAGTTGCTTGAAACTCGAAGATTTTATTTGGCCCGTGACCAAATCTAAAAATAATTTGGCCCTTCAAATAGATTAATTAAGAACCAGGGGTGTAGGCCTGTGATTGACTGCGACACACACAAGGTATACTTACCCTATTTTTTAAATTCCTAAATTTATTTTCGCAAATAAAATTTTATTTTCCCATTCTCCACTGGATACTTTTGGCAGGAATATTTTGGAAAATTATCAAATAAAATTTTATTTTTATCTATTTCCGCCCATCGCTGAAGATTTTTAAAAAATTAGGTGCGCTAAACAAGGTATTAAAAAAAGTGTCGCCTAAGCTTATAACTATACCATCCATCGAAAAATAGAGTATACAGAGCACTACAGTACACCTCGGTTTCACGCAATTCTGCTGTACGTGCCTGTGATTGGGTGGATCACTTCATTCAAGGAAATTCATCGGTGGTGGAAGATGTTGACAGGAGATAAACAGGTTTTAGCCTTCCAACTCTTAAGATTTTATCAATATGTATCGCTTTTATAATTGTGTCAAATACATCCTTCAGGACTAACAAAATTGTCCCCATAAGAGGGGACACAAACTAAAAACGTGAAATTGTCCCCTTAATAGGGGTTTTTAGCATGTTTTTATTGACATAGGAATCAGTTACATTAAAATTATAACTATAGCAATAATTTGCAATGCAAATACAATTCATAAAAATATGAAATGAGCAGAAATGTAATTCAAACAACATTAGTGTTTTATGTTCCGTATATTATTTCATGATGCAATGTTAATGACCAAATTTTATTTTTAATATTGAACATTATATTTGGATGGACGTACCATGAACAGAGAACGAATTACAGTTAAGAGTACATGTTATGGTATAGATTAAAATCCTATATAACAGTAAATGAAAAACAAAGAAAAGGAAATCCCTGTGGTTAAGGGTTAAATTGTATACCAATGTCCACTCTAAGGATTCAGTGGAGAAAATTCTGGTCTATTGCTCAAAATGTGTCAAAATATAAAGTTGAATGAATTTTTCTTATTTTGAGACTGCTGTAGCTGTTCTGACACAATGAAACACAAATGAATTGTTCCCTTTAATAGGGTTATTTGATCATTTGTCACACTCAGTATGTGTCTACGTCCTCTTATTAAATAAGAGTTGGCCGTAGTGTTAAAAGATAATTATATTGCCCCTCATTTTACGGAAAAGTGTCCCCTTAATAGGTGTGTCCCAAAGGAGCTTTCTACTGTAATAACCCATAATTTGGTCTATATTTAGGCCTACCATTATTATTTAAGGCCTTTGAAAATCACAATTTATCAACCAAACCTACGTCATGAGGGCTGCTCCCGTATAGACCCTCCATGTGAAAGTGAATCCGTGGGACAAACTATTTCAAATTCATGGATATGCCACTGATATATGACATCATTTATTTCGTCATTAAAACACTTAGAACATTTATAAAAATAATGACAAACATGATTGAAAACGAACAAATCTGAAAGTCAACAATGGAAATGGCGATTTAAAGAAAAATTAGAGTATACATTTTAAAATTCACAGATTTTTATGCTCAAGTTAATAATTAAAAAAAAAAAAGAGTATTGTCCAAGAAAGGCTAATCAAAATCAAATATTTTAAAGTGAAATAAAACAATGATTTCACCAACTAGGTGAAATATTTATGTAGGTCTATTTAAAATTATTTTTGTTTTCTAAATGAAATTTAAATTCTTGGTTTTGAATTACTTTGTTAATGAAATTAAAAATTATAAATATTAATATACTGTAGGCCTGTTACATTATAAATAATGAACTTGCAAGTAAATATGGAAGTATACATTACAGGATATACAGAAACCTTAGTACCAAGTAAATTTTTATTATGAATTATTATTGTTACAATTTAAGTCAAAAAAGAAAAAAAAAAACACCCATTAAATGACGGACCTTTTCTATATATCAACAATATACAAGGGAGTTGTTATAGTGATGATAATGCAAAGTATACTAACCTTCCACTTTCCATAAAAAAATAGAAATAGAAAAGCCCCGGTGAAATATAGCATTTAAATATAAATCCCAAAACTGAGCAGAGATTTATGTGTAACCAGCAACTACTACTATTGTAACTCCCGAATATAATAATGGTAACTTGAAATTACCACAGGGGCAATGTGGGTCAGTCTGTCCAGATTAAGTGGAGTGGGAATAAAGTGATGGAGAGCTATTTAGGAAACTTCTTACTGTACAAAAAAGCCTTACAAAGTTTTTGGCATGAAAGCATTTACAAAAATATGAAACGTTGCGAGATCTCCTGGTATCTAGGTGCAATATTCTTGCTGAACTTTACTACCCTACACACTGAAGTAAACAGCATAGTGCGCCAAATGGGACACATATCAAGAGGTTTAGCTTAAAAACGCACCATATTATTTCGGAAAATGATTAAAATGACTATCAAAAAACTTATAGGTCTTTTTGAACAAATAAACAACCCTCATTCACAACTGTCAACTGTGGTGTTATGAAGCTCATTAGCAGCCTATTTGTTCCCTTATTGATAAAAAAAGAATTAAAGATTCCATATCATTCTAAAAATCCCAAGATTGAATGAAAAGTTTAAAAAAAATTAAAATTCCCAAGATCTTGGGATAAATTCCAAGCAGTGGTCACAGTGGCTGGTTTTTGTGTGAATGTTTGAAAATAGATATAGCGCCCTCTAAGGTATTAATGCACCGTAATGTTTGTTGAAGTGCTATTGGATAATTACGTACGAAACTAAGCATTTGGTAGGCGAGCTGAGTACAGTTTTGTGTTGAGGCAGAAATTAAGGTTGTTTATTATCAGCGAATCAGAGAAGAACTAAATGACCTTGAAATTATCATATATGGGTTAGACACAGGTTTTGAAGTTCATTTTTAGTTATTTTGACGTTGTGAAAAGTTGTTGACAATTTTATCAGCCTAGGCCAAGATTTACTAATCACTGATAAGCCAAATGTTTTCTGACGCTACCTACGCCGATGTTGTAATAGTGGACGAGAGGCTATAGTACAAATATTTTTTCGGTCGTCTTGGAGTGAATGGTTTGAAAAGGAAATTTGCAAAGATGATGAAAAATCTGACAGCCCAAGAATGTAAAGACACAGATTGTGGATACCCAGCATGTAATGAAACATATTGGTATGTTTTCCTCTGTTCGAGTCTGATAACATTCATAGGGGGTATCATTGTCATTGCTGTTGTTCAGTTTGTGGCTCAGAGAATAGCAAATCGACAGGAGGAGGCAGCTGATGGAGCTAGGAACGTGAAAGGAGTTATGGTGACAGACCCCAAAACCGCAACATCTGAGGAATCTATCAATTGGGGAACGGAAGTAAAAGATTGGGCAGCTGGCCTTATATCAGCTCAGACAACCATTGGCAAAGTTTTGGTAAGAGATTTAAATTGCTACAATGCATCTTCCACCCAACTGGAGACCCCTCTTACATGCTTTTTCACAATAACAATTAATAATCTTCAATCTTTTAACACAAAGCTTACCAAACAGCAAGACCACCCCAAATTTTCAGGTCCCAAAGGTGGTCTCGAATTAGTGGTGTCATTTTAAAATATATTAGTCTTACCAAAGTTTATTGAAATCCTGTTACAAATAATTAATTTCCAGACATGGTTTTTGTAATTGATTAATAAGGCCATTTTGTTTTTCCTCGCGATGCGAAGTTCGATGTGAGGTTTCTGCAGTGTTCAGTCAGGGCTCGCGCTAACCGATCGGCAAGTCGGCATGGATGAAATTATTTCAGTTTTGCGGCAAAAAAAAATCAACTGCTGTAGGCATAGGCATTTTGAAGAAGGCCTAAAATATAAAAAAGGTTTTAATACTTGCTTAAATACATCGTTTTTTCATTTAAATCTCCATTTTCTGCTACCTCCATGCGACGTTTTTTTTTTTGTATTAGTAGTCATATGAAGGTACTATATTCCCGACAGTTGGCTATGCAGCATTGTACCATTTGAATACAAACAGAAGACAAGTGAAGATATAAAGGCAGCCGACTGTTGGGTACATAACGAATCTAGCTTAGGCTTTCCACAAAAATATGAGGCCTAGTTTAGTACAGTAGTTACTGCGATGCGAGGGTGGTAGATCATTTAAACAATGATATCGTGTTATCGTCTAATACGTAAAATACATTTAAATAATGTGTGTAAAATTTAAGAATGCACCGCGTGGGTTGCTTTCTTGGTTATGCGGTAGTATACGTAGCAGAATGACGGCAGCAAGGCTAGGCCTAGCCTATGGCCTAGATCGTGCACGTTCTTGATCATTGTGGATTGGGCGCAACTGGTGTGGATGATCGGGCCCAAGCTATTTTCTAATAAATTGTAGTCTAGTAGGCCATTACCAGCTTCCCCACTCCCGATATTGTTTCAAACTACTGTAAAATGAAAATGAAAATTTCTTCAAATAAATTTGCTAAAAATATTACTGTAATTTGCCTATCAAATTACATTACCAATGTGGTCTAAAATCACTATTTTGGGCCATAAAGACTCCCCCTGAATTTTTCAACCACCTCACAAATTTGACCCAACCATATTTTCTGATTATGACATTTATGATGACTTAATCAGAAAATATGGTTGGTAAGTCATGTATCATGCATAGGAACATTGACGCCTGCAAGGCTCTGGTTTCTACTCCGAGATGGCCAATCCAAGATGGTCGATGGAAACAGCTACTACTTTCTCACTTTTACCAAGTAGACACATTGAAAGCAATTAAAAGAGCACTAGACATAAATCATACCATATGTATCCCCAACCATGAACGATCGAGAGAGAAATTTTAATTATGTAATGTGAGTTTGCCAGATTTTCGTACATGTCATGAAATAAAGGGGAAAAAATTAGTGAGGCAGAGAAAAATATGTGCGAAGGACGAGAAATGAGTGATTTTTTTTTATTTGGCCTAAAGTGACCCATATGAATTATTTTAGTGGTTGCAAGTAGTTGATAAGACCCATTAAAAGTTATTGGTGGTATTCACATAAGCCTACCTTCAGGATGTTATTTAATGGAGGAATACAAACCATAAATACGTTTGAAAGAGTCGCATATTTCCTTAAATATTTTCCCATAAGTATTAAAGCAGTGGTGATGCCAGTGGGGTAATTATGTACTTTAAAGTTGATTATGTCCCTAAATTGTTGGATGAACAACCCTAACCC